GTTGAAGTCCCCGCCCACTATTGAGGGTATGTCAAGCGAAGCCGCGAATTCGAAAAACTTTTTGTGCCCGATTTAAACTGTGAAACTGTTGTTGATGGGGGTGCATATATGCTAAAAATATTGAAATTGCTCTTGAGGTTTAATGTTTTTATTCCTAAAATTTCCAAGTCGTTCTCTATTTTTAAAATGCTGAATTGAATGTTTTTCCTGACGTAGATGCCAACCCCGCCGTAGCCGTCCTCTCTGGGCCTGCAGAAAAAGTTATAGTCTAAAATGCTGCAGTCCGCGTTGTTCAACACCCAAATCTCTGAGAGGATGGCAATATCTATTGCGTTCTTGTCTAGGAACATTGAGAGGAGCTGTTTGTTGTTGTTGTGTGTCAGACTTTGAATATTTAGCTGAAGAATCTTCATTGTTGGATGTTTTGAGAACCAACTGCCATCCCTTGGGCAATCTGACGCCTATCTAGTTCCTTAATTTCCCTAATTTCCTTAATAAATTTATTCGCTAAAGAATCCCCTTTAATGATGTTGTTTGGATCAATCAGGAACGCTGTGAGTTTGGCTCCTAGTGCGTTTAGCTTATCCTGGGCCAGAGAAGATGCCACGGATGAAGATCTCACAAATTTCTCGCTCATTTGGACGTAGTCTGAGTTTATTGAGTTCTTCCACTCTGCCATGTTGGCTGCTGCCTTGGCCGCCTCTGCGTTCCGGGCGGCAACCCTATTGGATTTGGTCACTTCCGCGAAAGAGGTGACAGAATGAATTTCCCTGGCGGACTCTAAGCTGTTATTTAAGAATTCAGGGGAGCGGTTAGATTGCCAACTGGGTCTAGGAAATTCCCCTTGATCCCTTGGGTTGGAGGAAGTTCTATCAAAAAGGATCGGATATCTAGCCTTGACCTCAGCTCTAGTTAGGTTTTCCAGTGTCATACACTTTTGAATGGCGTACGCTTTTTTCCTGGCCTCACACTGCGGGTGGGTGGCAGCATGTTCCCCCTTGCAGTTAGCACAGACCAGCCCTGAGCAGATAATATCTTTGCTGTGATCTTGTCCGCATTTGAAACATTTCGCTCCACTCTTGCAATGTTGCGCCAGATGGCCAAACCTAAAACACCTGAAACATTGAATAAGCTGAACAAAAGGTTTCACTTCTACTTTAGAATAAAGAAAATTGATTTTGGTTGGTAACTGCTCTCCTCTGAACCAGAGTTTCACCCTGCCAGTAGGTACACGTTCCCCCGATGCTCTATCCCTTCGCGTACTCCGAACTATCTCCTCAATTGGGATATCCGAGGTTACAAGCTCCGATAGCTGTTCCTCCGAGTAGTGCCCGGGGATCCCAAAAATTAACCCTGCTTTTTGGATGAAGTGCCTAAAGATTCGGGTTGAGTACCCTTGAGCAGCGAAAACACTGTTTTCCACTAGCCCGTTTGCACACTCCGCCGACCCGCACACAATCTTGCACCTGCCACAGCCCATCCTAGCAACCTCCTCGATATCGCTAATGCCCTGTTTCAGCAGCAGATCGGATAGATCAAACTGGTTTATAGCAATTCTGGCATTATTCGCACTCATTTTGTCGATACAAACAATGTATGGGCCTTTATGCCCCTCATAATACTTGTTAACGATGATTTTGCGGGTACTTCCGTTTTTCGTACTCACGGAAGCCACACAAACCGCGTCAGTCTTCTCTCTCTCTTTCGTCGTAGAAATGTTTGATGTCATTCTTGTTGTCGTGTTCGTGGACATGTTTGTCGACACGTTCGTCGACAAGTTTGGTTTCTTACACAACAGTTTAGAAGCCAAAAGCTGCGGAGCCGTTTTTGCCGACATCTTTACTCCTAGCCGCATGGCGGTTTTAGCTTCTCCTTCCCTTTTTTTCAGCGTTTCCATGCGAATTTTAACTCCCGTCGCCTTCTCCGTGGCCATCCTTGTCTTTCCTATGCTTGCCATGCTTCTCAGGATCCAGGTGCTTAAACTGATTTCATGAAAATGCCGACTACAGATTTTGTTTGTGCTGCTGCGTTCGAGCGTTTTTTGTTGTTTTTGTTCGCCGAGCGCGATTTGTATTTTTTGGTGGTTTGTTGTTTATTTCGAGATATTTCCATGCAAAACGCGATATGACATACGTCTGATCGGTGATATTTTGCTATTATTATCAAGTGCAATTGTTATTAAACTTTTGGTTGATTTTTTTAATAATAAAAGGAGCTCCCACGCGAGCCAGTGTTACCAGCCTCCACATCCGTTTTTGTACATAGGTATTTTAAAATCTTATCATGTGCTCGCTCTTTCTCTCACGCTCTCTTTTTCTCGTCTAGTGTGGTGGACCCTAGCGGAGTGAGCGAGAATTAACGGACTGTGCAGTATGGAAACAGCAAGAATATTAGCCTGCATAAATGCAGATACAAATCTGAAAAATTGTTCAGAAAACTTCGAAAGCTTTTGCAGCACATACAATGCAAATAAATTGAGCGGCACCTGTTCATATCATTTACGTGTACATGACAAAATTGGAATCCGCACTGTTATACATCAATTGCAAGAATAGAAAATAGACCCTCAATTTCTACAATACGTTAAAAACTTTACCAAAAACCTTGGCATTTAGCCATAGGATTCCCCAAGGAGCTCCCATATCTCCGTTATCCTATTTTTTTATAGCTTATAGCTCTCACTGACATCATCTTTTTTCACCACTAGGCATTGTTAAACATCTCTCTTCGTTAAAATACAATAGTTACCCCACAATACTGATCCGAATTATTAGATCCACAATCATAACCAGAATAGATTTATTTTTACCTGTATATGGATATGCACCGAAATTACAGCTCAAATCACAAATGCAGCATTGATAGCCGGCCTACTAATACTAATAGACACCTAATAATAACCTGCTAGCCGAAGCTTAAATCAAGCCATTTAAATTATCGATATTAATTTCGAAGAGCAATTAGGTGGACGATATTTTGTTCAGTCCGTCCTTACCCCACTGAAATAAGCTCGAGGTTTGCCCACGCAAGAACATATGTAAAAATCAAAGCCCTGTGATTTGTTGATTGTCATTGCGAATGCCAATCTAATAAGAAATTGAATTGAATTGAATTTTACTCCTCTTAATTTTCCATGCCATCAATTATATTTCTTGAGATCTTTAATCTTTTGTGATTTATACTTGTTTGATTCGATGGGCTTAGGAAAGAAGGAAAAGGAAAAAAATCAAGCACTAGAACGACTTTGTAGTTCAAAGGCACGACAAGAAATTTCTCATCCCGGAAAAGAAGCGCTCGATGCGACTTCTCAAGTTATATAAGAACGACATACGGAAGTTAAAAAGATATTTTATATGTAGTATAGACACCTGTAGATTCTTTGAAATTAGGCAGGAAACATCGAAACAAATTATGTGTAAGTGCCCTGCATTCTATAGAAGATCTATAGAACATTTTAAGGGAGCAACGATCCAGAAATTAAATAAACATACTACTAGAGTTTTGAAAACCTACCGGGCATGCTGTAGAATCTAGAAATGATATCGCATTCGAGTCAAATGCGAGACTTAACCCGGCAAAACGCTTGCATTGGACCCGCAATGGAAGCTCACAAACGGATCGTTTATGAGCATTTTGCGGGACTCTTGCAAAAGGCACTTTCATATTTACTGTGAGAAAAGGCACTCTCATATTTACTGTGAGAAAAGTGGGCTTTTATTGAATTTTTAGATAGTTTGCTTAAAATTACATTCTTAAAGCTGGTTGTTAACGATGCATCAGGAGCATGTGGAGCTTTTTGACTCTAAGGATGCAGGTTTGGTCCGCACGCTGCACCATTCAGTTGCGCTATTCTACATATTTTCTTTTGTATATTCCGCAAGTTAAGCAAATGAACACTCACTCACCCAAGAAATATGTACATATATGTATGTATACCCGATACTCAGTTAGTATGGCTCTTCTCCGACAGAAAGAAAGAGAGAGAGAGGTTTTCACAGAAACTGCAAATTGATTTTCTCTTTCTAGATATAATAACAATCTGATCTGATCCAGTCAAAAGGATATGGTCATTCTCTACGATTCTACGTTTTTGGTTTTATCGTATCTTCAAAATTGTGGATGCCACAGATTTTCGAACTGTGCGAAGGCGGAAGGGAGTGGGACATTTTGAAATACACTTGTGCAGGTGCGATATCACAAGAGTGTGGAAACCAAATTTGGTTGCTCTAGCTCTTACTTTCCGAGATATAGGCGCTCATCTGGAGCGCGAGGCAAAGCCGACGAGAAAACGTGTGTTAGAGGGCGACAGAGCGAGAGAGAATGAAATTTTTTTACTTCATTCTTGCTATAATAATATGATCTGGTTCATATTCTGCAGTCTAGAAGATATAGTAATTCTGTATAATTTATTTTTAATTTTCTTTTGACTTTAAACATGTGGATGCCACAGATTTTCGTCTTTCGTGGGGGCTGGGCGAAGTTTTGAAATACACTTGTAACAGTGACATATCTCATTGGCGCTCTTGGCGCTCATTGGGACGGACATACAGACATGGCTTAATCTACTCTGCTATTGATGCTGATCAAGAATATATGTACATACATATGTACATATATACTTTACACACATACATACATATGAGCCGAGCTTTTGTCAGAGAGTGCACAGAGAGATAGCAGAAGCTCTAACGTCAAGACTGAGCGAGAATATTTAAATGGATTTTATATTCTCTGCGGCATGGGAATATATGAATTATTTTAATATATATGAATTGAAATTGGATTTTATGCGTCACATTTAGACATGCTGCTGATGAATCGTTTATAACAAGCTTAAATCATAAAAAAATACATGTTTAATAATAATAATACTAATATAATAAAGTATTGGTGCAACGTAATCTTTTGTATTGCCTATTGTTGATTAGCTCAAATGCAATATTTAATCGTGAACTACATATTTACAAAACAGCTTTTTCTCCACTGTAGTCAATAATTACCTCGTTTGTGCCAAGTGTCATACTAATTGAATCATTAATGGGTAGAATTAATTCTTCATGACGTTTTCCCCCTGGGAAATAGACGTAATTTTTTAAACTTGTACTTAAAAACTTAATGTGGTTTACTCACAATATTTAATTATTGCAATATTGACCGGAGCCTTACAAGTTACCGACAGCATTGTTTTTTTCTTTATTTAAGAAACTCCTCTTTAAAACCATGGAATATACGAATGAACATTTCAAAAACTCGTCAAGTTAGCGGGAATGAGTTAGCTCGGAACAATAGAATGAAGCAAATAGCCAATTAATGTATACAAACGTTCTACTGAATATCTCATGAAAACCCAGTCTCAAATGTATACCAAGCAAATAGCTGTGAACAAATTTTTCTTCTGCGATCTGTTGACTGAGAAAGCAGATAACACCACGCATACTCGCTCTCTCAATGAACAGAACCACTAACCATACGGTATACTATAGACGTGCCAAAGGAATTAGCTGGATTGGATTCCAGGTTTTCAGCTCTGCCGTTCGGTTGGCGCCGCTCGATCACGAACCAGCTAGATCAGCAGCGCATTCCACTTTGTTAGTCTAACACACTCAATATGCCATATATAACTCTAGAATATACTAATTTAAAAAACTACTTATGTACTTTGCGTTCTCAGCCGAAATGTTCTGTTTTTTCTTTTTAAGCGCTCACAAATTTTTGTCATCGATTTGTTTAATTTTATCATCGTTACTGGCAAACACCAGCTTACATGGTTGTTTTGTGAATATACAGCGTGATAGTAGAAAAGTTGTAGTCGATATAGAAGACGCAAAAAGAAGGCAGAAAGTGCGCGATTTAGGAGGATCAAGACATCTTAGTTGCAACACCCGTCTGTTAATCATATCTGACGAACTGAGAGTAAAATGCATGCATATTAAAAACTTAAATTCTATTGATCAAGCTTTCAGATTTTTAAAATCATATCAGATCGACAAACATACCTTCAAAATGATTTTGGAGAAAGTTAAACTTCATCTGGCTGTTTCCTCACCTAATTTTGAAGACCAAATTAAATAAGATATTCATGCAAAACGTTTCCTTTACCGGATTCAGCTTTTATCACGAAGGCGCAAAGTGTTTTTGCATTTACCTATTGTTTCAGAGCCAAATTTCAGGTTGCGTTAAAAGTAAAATATTTATAATGAAGGAAAGGACATGCTAATTTGCAGTGGTACTGGTCATGTACAATTTATGTTAATGCTTCATTATGTCACATATAATTTTTTCCTCTTGCGATTAAGATTCGTTATGTTGTTAAAAAAGTCGTTTACTTTTTCATTTCCTCAAGGAAATTTCCTCCGTTTAGAAACGGATACATCTAGAGTTATGTGAAAGTGCGAGCAACAATTTGTTGCGTTTTTAGAAGTAAATTGGATACATTTTTCGAAAGTGAACACCAGGTCCTTAATGATTATCTTTACAAATAGTTTAGGTACGACAGTTTGACCAAACCTTCTAATGCCGCATCTTAAAATGTAATTTGTTGACCATTAGCAATTTAATTTTCAACATGCATGCAACATTTCATATCTTCAGACATTTTAAACACGCTGGTGCTGCACCTCCGATGTCTTGATCATCTTAAATCGTGCACTTTGAACTATTTTCTTCTTCAAAACAAGTAATTGAAAAAAAGTCATTTATATCAGGCTGTATTTTTACAGAACAGCCTGGTCAGCTGTTTTTGTTTGACAGAAAAGGTGAAAAAAAGAAAAATATCGATCAAATAAATTTCTGAGAACTGGACCGTATATGTTTTTTTTAAATACAAAAATCTCTTAATTTTAATGGACCTATAAAAACATGGCTTGACCCAAAATCTTTATTTTGCTACAATCTCTGCATTCCCGCCATGACTTGTAAATCTTTAATTTATTCACGTTTTTTTCACTGGTAATTGATAAGAAAATTTTAGCACAGGTGGTAGCTTTGTGCTCCCTTAACAAGGATATGCAATAATATTGGCGAACATTCTAGCACAGAAACCGTAAATTCCTGTTGAATTTTAAGGGAAAAATACAAATCATTAATAATCATTACATATTCAGTTTTAATTTTTTGTTATCAAGAATAATGATTAAGTCTAAGTTTTATCAAATTATTCAAAAATATTGATTATCAGTGAAGAAAAATGTAATAAATTGAAATATGATCATTACCTAGTAATTTTTATTTTATAACTTATAATGATTACGGTCCCTTCAACATAACATTAGATGTGGAAGGTGTTTTGCAAGTGCATTCTGTTTGTTTGTACGTTTTAATTTACGCGACGTGGGCAGATCGCTGGCCGTGGCTGGTCAGCACTAAATCTACATTGGTGCGTGTCGGTTTCAACCGGGTGTATACGTGTGTGTGTGTATGTGTAGCGTTCCGGGCTCTGACGGGGTTCGCCCTGACACAACTCCGTTCTATGTAGTCGACACTATCATGTACTCCAGTGTTCCTCTCCAGGAAACCTTCTGGCACAAATCCGGTGGCTGTAATGCGGGCCAGCAAAATTTACTGCATTAAACCCTATTTGGGTGGCCCGCCTTCCTTTTTCTTTTCTGTATTCACTTCCAAATTTCGGTTTTAACCACAAAATCCGCGTCGACTTAGCGACGTTAACATTGCGTAACGATTTCTATAACTCACTCCAAGTTTTCTAATAACTTTCAAGTCTATTTATCCTTTTTCACCCTTACTAATACATATAGCTATCCTATCCTATAGCTATCTAATCCTATTCCTTATATCCCCAGTGACGGATCGCAGCTCCCCCGATATCACCATACACCGTCGAGCCTCCCTGGAATAGATGACGCGTCGCCCGCAGCCGTGGGCCAACTATCGCTCAGGTGGGACTGTAACATCTGTCACCGCTGATTGTCCGATTGATTGTCTGGGACGAGAGAAGTCCCGCGCATTGGCAAATCGTTTTCCTCTACACCGCTTTCGTTTACTTTATGGGTAATCTACGCTTCATTCTCTTCGGTCGGACCGGTGTCCAAGAATGGAAGACTCCAACCATTAGAACGCTGCTGAGAGAGTAGAAGACGTTGCTGGGGATCAGTTGATCCACAGAGTTGAGGATTGGATATAAATTATGAAACTCTTGTACCTTAAAGGGGAAGTGCATTCCATGGAATTGATCGATCGCAATTAGCATCGTATTACTAGCTAGACAAAGCGTTATATACTGTATACAAAAGTATTAAACTCTATTTATGTAAAAAATACAAAAATACACCACACACAAAACAAAATGGAGGGATCGGAAATGGATCAGATATCTATTTGATTTTTTTTTATTAGTAGTTTGCAGCCATTTAATAGAACTAATAGAAAACGAGAGGGAACGTTGTGAGTTGCTGCGGAGATCGCAACTCTACATTTATACCCGATACTTAGTCAGTATGGCTCTCCTCCGGCAGACGCCGCCAATATTAAACGACACGACAAAGAGTGCGTGCGAGAGATAAGGAAAATCAGTCTAAGCGTGACGTCGGGCGCTGCGTAGCCACTGCAAATTGATTTGTTGCTTTTGGCTATAAAAATGATCCGATTTGATCCAGATTCAGCAACCGGATAGATATGGTCATTCTCTATGATTGTGCGATTTTCGTTTTCTCGAATCTGCACTATTGTAAATGCAACAGATTTTCGTCTTTTGTGGGGGCGGAAGGGGATGGGGCGAAATTTTGAGATAAACGTTTTATAGTGAGATCTAAAAGGAGTGTGGAAACCAAATTTGGTTACTCTAGCCTTAATAGTCTCTGAGATTTGAGGATGCCCAACATTTTCGTCCTTTGCGGGGCCGGAAGGGGTGTGGCGAAATTTAAACACAAAACGGTCAAGGGTCGATATCACAGGAGTGTGGATACCAAATTTGGTTGCTCTGGTTCTTATAGGTTCTGAGATCCTTGAACTCATATTTTACAACTGGAAAAACCGACCATGAAACCTGTGTGTTAGAGAGAGACAGAGCGAGAAAGAACGAAATTGTTTTCTTGATTCTAGCTATAATAATTATACGATCTGGTTCAGATTTTACATTCTAGAACATATAGTAAACTCCTCTACGATTCTGCGTTTTCAGTTTTCTCGTATCTTTGAAATTGTGGATGCCACAGATTTTCGCCCTTTGTGGGGGCGGAAGTGGGCGGGGCGAAGTTTTGAAATATACTTGTAGTACTTGTACTTGCAGTGACATATCACAGAAGTCTGGATCCAAAACGTCGTTGCTTTAGCTCTTATAGTCTTTGAGCACTAGGCTCTGATAGGGACGGACAGACGGACGGATGGACGGACAGACAGACAAGGCTCCATCGACTCGGCTGTTGATGCTGATCAAGAATATATATACTTTATGTGGTCGGAAACGATTCCTTCTGGACGTTACACACATCCATTTTCAGCACAAATCGTATATATATCGGGTATATCGGGTATAAAAAAACATAATACTGCGGATTTCCGGGGGTCGCGAAAGGATTTCATTAATATCGACCAGGACAGGTCTATCTACGGTTCTAGTACGGATTAAATTGGAATATCCTCTAGAGATTTTTCTGAAATGCTTGAAGTCCAGAACGAGCATCAGAAATTTCATGAAGAGTACCAGGAAGCCAAGCTAGAGATACTCCATTAAATTGCGAGCAGACAAGGCCAAACCAACTTTTAAACAGAGCTGCTGCAATTTTTTAAGGGAGTCCAAATAGTAACGCTTATCGTTCATATATGTATGTATTGTTTTATTATAGCCAATAAAAAAAATAATCTACTAATTTAAACTTGTTGAAATTGCATATTCAGACCAAAACTTTATTATATTATGTGCATCATCTGTTCTGTGACGGATGGTGGAGTGCGTATGTGCATGCCAGTGTGAATCGGTGTTTCACATCTGTCGAAAATTTCCACCGTTCCGCCGGGATGTTTTCAGTGTGCTTAGAATATTACGCTTTCGTACGTATATTCCACTGTGCCAACATAGAGCTTATTTGAACTTACGATAGTTTGCACGTACACTTCTGACATCCCTATTTTGACCTTTAGTCTGGTACAAAACAACAGTCACTATTCATATTTACAATTTTTCTAAAACTATTTTGTAAATCTGTATCTATTATTACACGTTTCCATAGTTAAAACTGGTATGGTTGCTAAAGAATACACGTATTTATATATTTTAGACCTGTGTTTATAAGGTAAGTTTAGTTATCGGGACGCATAGAGTGTATATATGTATATGTGTTTGTAAATGGCATGCATGCAGATCAGAGCAGTTGCATTCATGTTTGCAATATACATACATATGTGTGTACATTTGTATATATGAGCATTCATCCATGCGAATGTATAGTACTGTGTTTTTATAACTGATACAAAGCCTATAGCACAGTTTTACATTTTTTAAATGGCTGAAATTTAGAAATATCTAGAAATTCTGTAGTGTACATATGTAAATGAATTCGACTATGAAAATGAAAGGATTCTTGAGTGTAGTAGTGTTGGGTAAACATTGCTCATTTTGATGAACATTTTCACTTTTTCTTTTTTAGTAAGTGAGTCAACTCCCTCATATTGCTCACTTGCTCACTGTTCACGCACAGATCACTAAGCACCACAGATTTGGACACAAATAAAATACGTTACATTTAAATTTTAAACAAACATTTATAACTAAAAAACAAAAATTTCAATGATTCCAAATTTTATCGAATATACTTCGAATTGGCGTCATACTGAATTTTCAAAAGAATAACAGAAGAAGAACAGTTTTCCAGGTAATAAAAAAAGTGTGAAGTAAAAGCAGATATGAGCAGCTGCCAGAATGCAAAATGCTCTTTGAGGAGCAAAATTGCGCAAAAAGTGAGTAGAGAACAAGTGAACAAAAAAGAACAGGTGAGCAACAAATAACAAGTGAGCAACAAAGAACAAGTGAGCAAGTAAGAACAAGTGAGCAAAAAAGAGCAAGTGAGCAACAAAGAACAAGTGAACAAAAAAGAACAGTTTGGAAGGAACATGTTCAGTTGCTCACATAAGTGAACAACTCTTTTTTGTTTACTCAATCATGAGCAACACAACACTACATAAGACTTGTTCGCACAACGTTTATTCAAAAATTCAAAGCCGAAATTTTTTCGCCTGCATTTTGAAATGTTCAGTCGTGGTAATGGACATAGTAGTGCCGAAATGTCAATAGAATACAAAAAATCACGTTACTTAACAGTAATTTTTTTTTATGACTTTAGACAAATACACATGAACTCATTTCCTCATGCAAAAAAAACCTAGAAAGCTACGCGTTTGTGTCAAAGAGTACAAGACAAGGGTGCACGACTCAAGTTTGCAAAACGAATACATATGCAGTGGACTGTGTCACATTGTCGAAACATGCTGTGACTGATTAGAGTAATGTAGTATATGGTCAGATAGACTACAAAAAATTAGTTTGGCGTTCACAGAAACCCGAGTACCTCCCAAAATATTGAAAAAATATCGTTAGGCTATATAGGCTAATACATCAAATTCTGTCGTTAACGTATTGAGCTAAAACGTGTATATCGACAAACTTGCGAATACTTTCATCCATATTTCAGTTGAAAAATACCTGTTAAAAGGATCTTTAAGCGGCATAATGACTCCAAACACTTAAGAAAGGCCGGTATGGATTGGGTTGCATCCAAAGAGTTCGACTTTTTGCCATGTCCAACTCAGTCGCTGCATCTTAATCCCACCGAAAAAGGGAAGGTTCAAATCCTATCGAAGAGTTGTCAGGACCTGGTCAATATGGCCATGCCATGCCAGAGTAAGGACGAAATAAAGAAAAAATGATTAAAAACTTAATATCAAACCTCAAGAAACATGTACAAAATGTAAGAGGTTCCATTATTTTTTTCGACTTTTTTAAAAATCACTATTTCAATGAAATTTTATGGTTATTTCTTGTAAAGTCATAATAAACTAGATTTAATTTAACGGTATTTTTTCTGGATGTAGCGAAATCTTTTAATCATTGTGTTTCTAAGAAAACACAAGAAAGGAAGAACTTAATCAATTTAGTAATAAAAGAAAACATTCCGCATACAATTAGAGTAATTAGAATGTCTTTGGTTGTGTCAAACTATTCATTTCGTTATCTAAAGTCCTTTAGAATGCCGAACGCTGTGAGGTTCAACACACACTCGCATTGATATCAATTCGTTTCATTATGCGTTTCGCGCTGACTCAATTAAATTTGAACTCATTCTATTAGACTATAGTTGTGCGTGAAGCCATTCAGGTCTGTAATTAATACTTATTATTGATGAAATTGGCAATCATTATTAACACCTGAGTTGATTTAGCCATGTTGCCCGACTGTCTGTTTCTATGCTTAGTGCTCCATCATCCATATACCTAAAACTTCTCACAGGCGCCAAAAAGACATTGTCATGGTTATATAAACCTAGCTAGTCATCCTGTCAAAGAATATTTATATACAAGTTAAGTTTCAGAGTATCAGCTCCATCATAGCACACCAGAAACCATAGACTACGATTGGAGAAACGGCAACAAATACGCTGACCATTCAGAAAAAATGATGACCGTTATTTATACCCGTGAGAAATATTTTTCCGAGCTGAGAATGAGTAAGCGCGTGGAAGGCGTTAAAATTTTACAATTTTATTTATTCCTTCTGTCTATAAAGATCCGATCTGATCTAACATGGCAATCTGCTTGATATGGGAATTCTGATTTCGGATTTCTAGTATCTTCACAACACAATCTTGTCCTTTATGGGGGTCAGTCTGATATCGCAGGACTCTGTACATCAAATTGATTTTCATCAGCTTTTATAGAAGAGAACGAGGCGTCAAAAGATGGACGGTCCGACAGACATGGCTACATCGACTCGGCTATTGATGCTGATCAAGAATATATATATATACAGTGGTGCTCATACACTTAAGCCACAAGAACCAAGATTTGTATACCCGATACTCAAAATGAGTATTGGGGTATATTAGATTTGTGGTAAAAGTGGATGTGTGTAACGTCCAGAAGGAATCGTTTCCGACCCCATAAAGTATATATATTCTTGATCAGCATCAATAGCCGAGTCGATTGAGCCCTGTCTGTCTGTCCGTCTGTCCGTCCGTCCGTCTGTCCGTCCCCTTCAGCGCCTAGTGCTCAAAGACTATAAAAGCTAGAGCAACGATGTTTTGGATCCAGACTTCTGTGATATGTCACTGCTACAAAATTATTTCAAAACTTCGCCCCGCCCACTTCCGCCCCCACAAAGAACGAAAATCTGTGGCATCCACATTTTTAAAGATACGATAAAACCAAAAACGCAGAATCGTAGAGGATAACCATATCTTCTAAAGTGTAAAATCTTAAACAGATCGTATAGTTATTATAGCCAGAATCAAGAAAACAATTTCATTCTTTCTCGCTCTGTCTCTCTAACACACAGGTTTCCTGGTCGGTTTTGCCAATTGCAATATATGAGTTCAAGGATCTCAGAACCTATAAGAGCCAGAGCTACCAAATTTGGTATCCACACTCCTGTGATATCGGACCTTGACCGTTTCGTGTCCAAATCTCGCCACACCCCCTTCCGCCCCCGCAAAGGACGAAAATCTGGGGCATCCTCAAATCTCAGAGACTATTAAGGCTAGAGTAACCAAATTTGGTATCCGCACTCCTGTTAGATCTCACTATAAAACGTATATCTCAGAATTTCGCCCCACCTCCTTGCGCCCCCACAAAGGCGAAAATCTGTTGCATCCACAATATTGTAGATTCGAGAAAACTAAAAACGCATAATCATAGATAACGACCATATCTATCAGATTGCTGAATCTGGATCAAATCGGATCATTTTTATAGCCAAAAAGAGCAAATCGATTTTCAGTGGCTACGCAGCGCCCGACGTCACGCTCAGACTGATTTTCTGTCTCTCTCGCACGCACTCTTTATCGTTTCGTTTAATATTAGCGACGTCTGCCGGAGGAGAGCCATACTGACTTAGTATCGGGTATAACTGTAGAGTTGCGGTGTCCGCAGCCAATCACAACGTTCCCCCTCGTTTTTTATTTATTTATTAAATTAAGAATTAACTGTTAATAATGGTACATAATTACAAAAGAAGGAAAAAACAGAAGTTAAAAGTTATTTGAATTTAGGTGATTATAAATATTGCATGCTATTAGTTTAAGGGATAGTTCAGGGGATAAGGTATGACAGAGGGAGTTATAATTATGGCATATAACCCTAAAAGGTTCATGTTCGGCATAATTAGACCTACATATGGGTAAACGGATTGGCCTAAAAATACGGGTAGGTCTAGATGGGACGGCCAAGTCAATCTGACCCAAGAGAGTTTGGGAGTCAAAAATCCAGAGAAGGAGCTTAGGCACGAACATTACGCCATTGCATATTCTGCGATGGTGCAACGACGGCAGGTCAATTAGATTTAGCCTAGACCCAGTTAAAGTTACTATTTCTTTTTCTTTTGCACGGATTCAATAAAAACCTTCTGCTCTTCACACTGCCGGCTCCACACACAAGAACAATACTCAAATATAGGACGTACTAACGAGATATACAGTTGTTTCGTAACGTACGGGTCGTCAAACTCCTTGGACCAACGCTTGATGAACTCTAAAACACCCTTAGCTTTATTTACTGTTGCAGCTATATAGCTGTTAAAACACATCAAAAAGGACTCGGAGGCCATTCGAACTCGAAATTCGTTCGAGGACATGATTTCATGATTTTTCAAGTATGACAAATACTTGGAGAACCAGGAAGGCTTGGACGATACAGGTACAGTGATATCTGGAACAAATGTATTAAGGGCGGAGTAAATAGAGCTATAAAACGAGTTAACAGTTGCATCTATATTCGGTAATGAATAAAGAAACGACCAATCAACACGCGAGAGATGTAGATCTAAATCGATAAAGTATGTTTTGCGAAGGCAAGGAGCCATGGAACCGTCAGCACAACCAGATCGGGTACACTCAAGAGATATCGACAAAGTAATGTAAGGATCTTCAGGGAATGATATTGGGCTTGCTCTGGATACCGTAGCAAGAGAAGCATTGTTAACAAACATGAGGTCAAGAAGTCTGTCCCTAATTTTTTTAACGGCATTAATTTGGACAAGGGAAATATCCGTTAGCCCATTGATAAAGTCATTATATCAATTGGGAAACAACAGTTTAGCGTCACCGCAAGCAGCCGAGAAAGAAATGGGAGGTTAAAGTCCCCCATGACAATAATTTGGTCATTGCAACCTAATGCAGATACGACAGTATTAATTGCTGAGAGGTGGTTTAAGTAAATCTCAGCATCAGACCTGAGAGGAATGTAGGAGCAGGTTAAATAGAAAAATGTCGAGTCCATCCGAACTTTGACTGCAACAAATTCAATTGCATGGATGTTATTGAATGGGAATAACTCAGATGAGAAATCAGATTTGACTGCAATCAGAACCCCACCTGCTAAAGATGGGCGGTCTATTCTATAAATAGTGAATTTGTCAATGAAATTCTCATGATCATTAATATAAGAGTTAAGCCAGGTTGCGAAATCAAAAGACGCACTATTTGTATAAATTTGACGCAATTTGCCAAAAAAAACTGCGAACGTTCTGATAGTGAATAGAAAAATGGTACATCAGTTTCTTGGAGCAGCAGGTTCGGTAATTCTGGGACTCGAGTTCGAATCTCTGTGAAGGAACTCATGCATAATTGTATGCTCAGGCCATATTGACGGTTCAAGAGATTTGGATAGTAAAGAATCAGGGAGAAGAATTTTAAAGGATGATATGTTTCGCTTATGTTTAAATGTAAATTTAGTCACAACTATATCATCAAGCGAAGCGTTAAGTTTAGAGGAAATATGTTGTTTAACGTCCTCCGTTGTAGCCTCAGGAATAAGACGGGAAATAAATATTGCTTTCCGAGGGACCACTGCTCTAAGTTGAAGTCCCGAGCGAGATCGTGATGGTGTAGCCACTCCTAAAAGATATCTCGGTCCTGGGGCAGAAGAATTGGCAGCAACAGCCGGAGCCGCCTTGGCGGATTTACAGATAATGGCGAGGCATGACCACGTGGAGTAACAAATGCTTCCGATAGATGAAGATAGATAGATGAATCTCCCGACAAGACAAACATGACCAAGACAGGCCCATACGTTTCGAGATCAGATCGTTTAGCCGTCCAAAATTTCCGCCACCAGCACATTTTATGTGGGCAAAATTGTCGCACAGCCAGCAGCTAAGGAATGAATCACCAATGATTACACCACCGAATTCACATTTCTTTGTCTTGCAAACAATTGCCATTATTGACAGTAGTACAATCACTGTGCAGGCAAAATGGGAGAGCAGACACCAGAGCGAGCCCGACAATCAACAGCAGCGGCAATAATTCAGATCCAATTCAGCAGATGATCCAACGAAGTGCAGGAAACGAGCAGTAAACTCACCAAAGCAGAAACAAAAAGAAGGAGAGCATAGGCAATCCAGAGCGAGTGAGAGCAACAATGCGAGCAGCAGGCCCGCTTATGCTTTCGAGAGAGTGTGGGCGATGCAAACGCTGATGCGCGAGAACAGTGCATACCGAAGAAACGATAACGAAAACCAGACTGGGTAAAAAACAATAACAAATTGCCTGCACGATTCCGATGCGTTACGTTGCGATATTGTATTTATATTAAACACTTGTTTACAAACGAAACACTGATGATTAACACAAAGTATAATCAAATTAAAGAGAATCGATGATATATCAAAACAAAGTGACAACAATGTTGATATTTAATCAAAGGGCGGAGAATGCAGGAGCAAGAAAAAATCACAAACGGCTTAAGCAAGAGATAGAAGCACATTTTGGAGATGATTTCAGATTTTTAAATTATTTCGCTGAATATATATTTTCATAACTTGATTATTGTTGTATTAGCGCACTGACATATAGAACTTTCTACAAAAAATTGGAGCTGTAAAATTAAAACTTTTCTTGATTTTCGTTTAAATGCTTGGTGTAGTTCTTGTGGCGTAAGTGGCCACTGTACTTTATGGGTTCGGAAACTCTTCCTTCTGGGCGTTACACACATCCATTTTCCCCTACCCCTATACTCTTTTCGATTATCGGGTATACAAATAAATTGAGTTTCTTACGTGCTTGGCTTGTGAGTAGTGGGTGATAAAAAAAAACTGACTAAATGGGGTGTTCTATTCAAGTAGATACATATTGATGTGTAAAAGGTGCGCCTTTTCTTATGTTGATATGTTAACATTGAATAACTTTTACATTTACCAATGTATATTAAGGTCTAACATTTTGTTAGCCAATATAGGCGGCCATTGATTGATTTTGTATTCAAAAACTAGTTACATAAACTGTTAGTGCTAGTAAACGTCAAAGTTATTTAATGTTTAAATATTGACATGCATAAGAAATTACGCACCCTGTCTATATATGGGCAGATCTCGCAAATAATGGTTGATTTTTTCCCGGTATCTGAAATAAAAAACTCATTCACGGGAATCGAAATTTTTCTCATTTATGAGTAACAAAGGTCCCGATAAAATCTGTTTTTCCTCAGTTAGCTCTACGCTCACGCAAAGATTTTAAATTTTTTTAAAAAATTATATTTTAACACTTCTCTTTTGTTACTGTTTTTCATTAAGCACTTTGTACCGAGCGAATGAACAAAAGTTTGGAAATCTATAACAATCCATATATTACAATAAATTTAAAAATATGCAAAAAATATAAATATATAAACGTAAACACGAACGAAACTAACAACACGTTACGCAGACACTTTTTTTGTTGTGCCCATCTACAGATACTTTCTGCGAGCGCTTGATCAAATGTTTTTCTTTAAGTTTTTATTGTGAGACACGATCGTGTGTCGGCTCAACCGAACGCACGAAAAATATAACACAAGCGAAGAGACAAAGAGTGTTCTGTTCAGTGAGAGAGCCTTCGTGGTGTTTTTCTGTTTTGTCAGTGACCAGACCTCAAAGGGAACTTGTCTTGACCGTTATTTATATACATTTATTTACATAAATGTATGCGTTTAAGGTGAAAATAAGCAAAAAATACTAACAAGTCAATTTTCTAATAATAATACTATGACCGCAGTGAATTTACTTCGTAGAGAGGCGGTGAATATGGACTCAACGCAAAACCTTGGAACAACTGGAAATATTATTAGCCATGAAGCATTGGACGAGTCCTCGTTTGTTGGAAATATACTACGTGAAATTTTGTATAGTCCGATGAACCTAGCACTTTTAACTGTAATAGTCTTTCTTGTATACAAAATAGTGCGCGATCGCACCGAAGTACCAAGTTCTAGTGCTCAGAAACAAACTTTACCAGAACTTCCCAAAATACGACGCGACTTTACTGTTAAGGAACTACGACAGTACGATGGCAACCAACTTGATGGTCGAGTTTTAGTGGCAGTTAATGGAAATGTGTACGACGTTAGTAAAGGAAAACGCTTTTATGGGCCAGGTGAGACAATATAACTTTATAAGATTTTTTACGTGCTTATATCTTTCACTACACTATTATTTTATCTCTAGTTCCGAGAGAAATAATCTACTTTATTCCAATTTCATTACCGGAGACTTTTAGTCATACGATTTATTTTTTAAGTTTCTTTAAATTCCTTTACTTCATAAGACTAAGAAGATAATTCCGATTGGAATTATTAATGAGACCGGCTGGGGAACTCGATCTTAACACTCCAAGAATAGAAAGCTCCATTTAAAGACCAAATTCTGTTGTCGCTCAAGAAAGCTAATCACCGCCTCGTGAAAGAAATCCTATCGCTCTTTTGCGATTGCATCACTGCTCAGTGATACAGTCGTGGACCGTATGAAAATATAGGCACTCCTGGACAGGATAGTTCTTGGTCTTTCCGACAACGCTGGAACTTGGAACGTAACTTTACAACGTAAACGTGCCATCAAGTGGCCCAAGTGGCACTAAGTCGAAGCCCATTACGTGAAGTTCGCAGGCTGAAATGTTGCCCCATTTCTGAGCTGTATTTGAAAAAAATTTATTTGCTTTAATTATACTAGGCAACAAAATTTATCTGTTTATGCACACTCCGAACCAAAACGCATTCTTCTTATAGATTTGGTACTTTTTTTTTTAAAGGTATAGGGCTATATTAGATTTGTGGTAAAAATGAATGTGTTCCAGAAGGAAGCGTTTCCGACCCCATAAGGTATATATATTCTTGATCAGCATCAATAGCCATGTCTGTCTGTCCGTCCGTCCCTCCGTTGGTCCTTATGAACGCCTAGTGATCAAAGACTATAAGAGCAAGAGCACCGACATTTTGTATCCGGACTTTTGTGATATGTCACTGTTACAAGTGTATTTCAAAACTTCGCTCCGCCACCTTTCGCCCCCACAAAGCACGAAAATCTATGGCATCCACAATTTTGACGATACGAGAAAATCAAAAACGCAGAATAGAAGAGAATGACTATATTTAGTAGACTGCAGAATCTGAACTAGATCGTATTATTATTATAGCCAGAATGAAGAAAGCAATTTTATTTTCTTTATTTAATTTAATTTTCAAGTGGATTTCAAAATTTCGTCCCACCCTCTTCCGCCCCCACAAAGGACGGTAATTTGTGGCATCCACAATATTGAAGATACGAGAAAACTAAAAACGCATAATCATAGAGAATGCCCATATCTACCAGTTTGCCGAATCTGAATCAGATCGGACCATTTTTATAGCCAAAAGGAACAAATCAATTTGCAGTGGCTACGCAGCGCCCGACGTCACGCTCAGACTGATTTTCTGTCTCTCTCGCACGCACTCTTTGTCGTGTCGTTTAATATTAGCGGCGTCTGCCGGAGGAGAGCCATACTGACTAAGTATCGGGTATAAATGTAGAGTTGCGATCTCCGCAGCAACTCACAACGTTCCCTCTCGTTTTCTATTAGTTCTATTAAATGGCTGCAAACTACTAATACAAACGAGGGGGAACGTTGTGAGTTGCTGCGGACACCGCAACTCTACAGTTATACCCGATACTAAGTCAGTATGGCTCTCCTCCGGCAGACGCCGCTAATATTAAACGACACGACAAAGAGTGCGTGCGAGAGAGACAGAAAATCAGTCTGAGCGTGACGTCGGGCGCTGCGTAGCCACTGCAAATTGATTTGTTCCTTTTGGCTATAAAAATGATCTGATCTGATCCAGATTCAGCAATCTGATAGATATGATATGATAGATATAGATCTCAAATCTGCAATATTGTGGATGCAACAGATTTTCGTCCTTTGTGGGGGCGGAAGGGGGTGTGGCGAAATTTTGAGATATACGTTTTATAGTGAGATCTAACAGAAGTGCGGATACCAAATTTGGTTACTCTAGCCTTAATAGTCTCTGAGATTTATGAATATCCCCAGATCTGCATCCTTTGCGGGGGCGGAAGGGGGTGTGGCGAAATTTTGAAACAAACTCGTCTCGGTCCGATATATTAGGAGTGTGGATACCAAATTTGGTTGCTCTAGCTTTTATAGTCTCTGAGATCTAGGCGCTAATGTTTTATTCTAAGCAAAGCCGCCTATGCTACGTGTGTGTTAGAGAGAGACAGGGCGAGAAAAAATGAAATTGTTTTCTTGATGCTGGCTATAATAATAATACGATCCAATTCAGATTCCGCAGTCTAAAAGATATCGTCATTCTCTACGATTCTGCGTTTTTGGTTTTCTCGTATCTTTAAAATTGTGGATGCCACAGATTTTCGCCCTTTGTGGGGGCGGAGGTGGGCGGGGCAAAGTTTTGAAATATTTTTGTAGAAGTGACATATCACAGAAGTCTGGATCCAAAACATCGTTGCTCTAGCTCTTATAGTCTTCGAGCATTAGGCGCTGAAGGGGACGGACAGACGGACAGACAGACATGGCTCAATCGACTCGGCTATTGATGCTGATCAAGAATATATATACTTTATGGGGTCGGAAACGATTCCTTCTGGACGTTACACACATACACTTTTACCACAAATCTAATATACCCCAATACTCATTTTGAGTATCGGGTATAAAAAATCAAATAGATATCTGATCCATTTCTGATCCCTCCATTTTGTTTTGTGTGTGGTGTATTTTTGTATTTTTTACATAAATAGAGTTTAATACTTTTGTATACAGTATATAACGCTTTGTCTAGCTAGTAATACGATGCTAATTGCGATCGATCAATTCCATGGAATGCACTTCCCCTTTAAGGTACAAGAGTTTCATAATTTATATCCAATCCTCAACTCTGTGGATCAACTGATCCCCAGCAACGTCTTCTACTCTCTCAGCAGCGTTCTAATTGTTGGAGTCTTCCATTCTTGGACACCGGTCCGACCGAAGAGAATGAAGCGTAGATTACCCATAAAGTAAACGAAAGCGGTGTAGAGGAAAACGATTTGCCAATGCGCGGGACTTCTCTCGTCCCAGACAATCAATCGGACAATCAGCGGTGACAGATGTTACAGTCCCACCTGAGCGATAGTTGGCCCACGGCTGAGGGCGACGCGTCATCTATTCCAGGGAGGCTTGACGGTGTATGGTGATATCGGGGGAGCTGGGATCCGTCACTGGGGATATAAGGAATAGGATTAGATAGCTATAGGATAGGATAGCTATATGTATTAGTAAGGGTGAAAAAGGATAAATAGACTTGAAAGTTATTAGAAAACTTGGAGTGAGTTATAGAAATCGTTACGCAATGTTAACGTCGCTAAGTCGACGCGGATTTTGTGGTTAAAACCGAAATTTGGAAGTGAATACAGAAAAGAAAAAGGAAGGCGGGCCACCCAAATAGGGTTTAATGCAGTAAATTTTGCTGGCCCGCATTACAGCCACCGGATTTGTGCCAGAAGGTTTCCTGGAGAGGAACACTGGAGTACATGATAGTGTCGACTACATAGAACGGAGTTGTGTCAGGGCGAACCCCGTCAGAGCCCGGAACGCTACACATACACACACACACGTATACACCCGGTTAAAACCGACACGCACCTATATAGATTTAGGGCTGACCAGCCACGGCCAGCGATCTGCCCACGTCGCGTAAATTAAAACGTACAAACAAACAGAATGCACTTGCAAAACACCGTAAATTAAAACGTACAAACAAACAGAATGCACTTGCAAAACACCTTCCACATCTAATGTTATGTTGAAGGGACCGTAATCATTATAAGTTATAAAATAAAAATTACTAGGTAATGATCATATTTCAATTTATTACATTTTTCTTCACTGATAATCAATATTTTTGAATAATTTGATAAAACTTAGACTTAATCATTATTCTTGATAACAAAAAATTAAAACTGAATATGTAATGATTATTAATGATTTGTATTTTTCCCTTAAAATTCAACAGGAATTTACGGTTTCTGTGCTAGAATGTTCGCCAATATTATTGCATATCCTTGTTAAGGGAGCACAAAGCTACCACCTGTGCTAAAATTTTCTTATCAATTACCAGTGAAAAAAACGTGAATAAATTAAAGATTTACAAGTCATGGCGGGAATGCAGAGATTGTAGCAAAATAAAGATTTTGGGTCAAGCCATGTTTTTATAGGTCCATTAAAATTAAGAGATTTTTGTATTAAAAAAAAACATATACGGTCCAGTTCTCAGAAATTTATTTGATCGATATTTTTCTTTTTTTCACCTTTTCTGTCAAACAAAAACAGCTGACCAGGCTGTTCTGTAAAAATACAGCCTGATATAAATGACTTTTTTTCAATTACTTGTTTTGAAGAAGAAAATAGTTCAAAGTGCACGATTTAAGATGATCAAGACATCGGAGGTGCAGCACCAGCGTGTTTAAAATGTCTGAAGATATGAAATGTTGCATGCATGTTGAAAATTAAATTGCTAATGGTCAACAAATTACATTTTAAGATGCGGCATTAGAAGGTTTGGTCAAACTGCTGTACCTAAACTATTTGTAAAGATAATCATTAAGGACCTGGTGTTCACTTTCGAAAAATGTATCCAATTTACTTCTAAAAACGCAACAAATTGTTGCTCGCACTTTCACATAACTCTAGATGTATCCGTTTCTAAACGGAGGAAATTTCCTTGAGGAAATGAAAAAGTAAACGACTTTTTTAACAACATAACGAATCTTAATCGCAAGAGGAAAAAATTATATGTGACATAATGAAGCATTAACATAAATTGTACATGACCAGTACCACTGCAAATTAGCATGTCCTTTCCTTCATTAGAAATATTTTACTTTTAACGCAACCTGAAATTTGGCTCTGAAACAATAGGTAAATGCAATTTTTTAATAATTTAAAAAATTTTAATTTTTTCGACTTTTGCAAATTTTGATAATAATCTAAAAGGGCGATAAGCTTGCAGGCGGTAGTGCTATATTTCATTAAACAAATTTAGAGTTCGAAGCCTACATATGGTGTTGCATAGTTTTACCTATGCAAAATGCTACATTTTTATTTGTTTT